GGGTCCAGAAATCTTGGATGGCCCTTCACACATTCTGCTGCCACTCGGCTTCTGTAACTGAAACCAGACATCACTGAGAACAGAAATGAATAGGGCTCACTGAGCCATTGAAAAGCAACATTTAATGTACATTTAGACTTCTGACCTTCATTAGGGAGAGCTCACACCCAGCTACAGATACAAGCAAGCAGGAAACCAGCCAAAATTGGACACTCTGTGGGGTGAAGGCCCTTAACAGCAGCACCATCCCCACTGTGTGACTAACCAGTGCTCTTACCAGAGTTGAGCCTGAAATGTCCATGGTTGCTATAATACCAGTATCTTCAGTATAGAAAATCTTTCCTGGCTTTGCTCTCCTATATGGAAACATTTAATACAGAGAGGCAAGCAAGAGCTGAGCTGTTATAACTGCCCTGTGTGCTTTTAACCCACAGGAAACACAAGGTAGTTTGACATCATCTGACACAGTTTAGCCTTATGTTTGAATTATCTTGCACCGTGGGCTCTTTCCAAATAACTACTGTGCTTCACACACAACCTACCCAACGTAATCCGAATCCCCCACCCCATGCAGTCAAGCCCCTCTGCTGAATCATGAGTGAGAGATGTGCCAGTGAAGTCACCACGTTTGAGTAGGCTGGGGTTAAACCTCAAAAGGACCCAAGACAAAACATAGGGGCAGATGCTTGGTTTCTAGGCAAGAGTCCTGAGACAAAAAGAGCCCAGCTGGTCTCTCAGCTCTCAGGGAGAAGGGAGAGTTAGCTATTTATAAAAACACCTCTTTCGTTTTTTAATAACTTTTCAAAGCAGACCAATGAAGACCAACACAGATCCACAAATCCCTGTCCCAACTACTTTCTAGCACGGCCCATCATGCACTGTCTGGTCTAGCTCATGCTGGTTCCTGCTGTATTATCTCCTCCCTCTGACAAGGAAGGAGTGCACTGCCCTCCAACACATGAGCAGCCAGCATCTATGTCCTTGTGATGCTGACTGAGATGTTTTGGACAAGAAACTTGGAGGACTTGCTCCCTGCCCTGAGGATTCAAAACCTCTGATTCTGCATCAACAGGCACAGACTGCTGGTAAACTTCTGGCAGACGCCACGAGAGCTTGACCCCTTATTAGGATCACACCACAATTTGGATGGGAACCAGGACAGACTGGCTAGAGTAACCACTACTCAGTTAGTGAGCTGGGGCTAGAACCTGCATTCCTTTACTCCCAAGTCAGTAATTTAAAGATTTCAGAGACAACTCTGTGGGATGAATCCCTTTCAGGATCCTCAGTATCCCAGCACTGAGGGGACACAGCATCTTCAGTTTAATTTATAAGCCAATAAACGATCAGTACAAGGATGAGTGAGCCTGTGTCATAGCAACTAATGCACTGCAGTCTTCCTTGTTAAATCACCCTTGTTGATGTGAGACCCATTAGCACATAGCTGTTATTCATCTCCTAGACACAACTGCAGAGGCAAGGTAAGCAATGGTGACTATTGCACACCAGTAAGCAAGTTCAGTGGCTTGTTTGTACCCAGTTACTCTGGAAAAGCTATTTCTAAAGTTTCAGACAGACTCTCAGTCTGAGGTAAGAGGACATTGTTTCGGTATTATTTAATCTCCTTTATAATGGATCCAACTAAGTTAGAACAGGCTCTCTTATTCTAGAAAAGAAGTGTTCACCAAGAAATTGTGAGTCTGTGATTCTGTGAAATTACTCTAGAGTAGCTACTGGCCTTGAAATTCACATCTGATCTTGATCTGAACTCACTTTCAAATCCAGTAATTTACACACAAAATGACAGACTGAAAGCAAGACCTGTAACAGAGCAGACAATTAACGCGGGGGATTGAAGGAGGAAAGGCAAGCTGATGGGAGGCGGGGGATGGAGGGCTGACTTAAACCTTAGCACAAGTCACACCTCATGTCCCAACAGCACCCGGCCCTGCTGCATGGCATTTGCAAATTACACCCACTCCCTGATTTGCAAGTCATATTGCCTCTGGTTTTGGATCCTGCAGGATCAGACAACCTCATTACAATAGTACTTTGCCTATCTAGGTATCTACAGAGAACTCATCTATGTGGGATACAAGCCCCTAGCATCAGTCTCTCAGTCCTAAGACGAAGCAGCCAAGCCTTCAGTTACAATGATCAGCACAGACTTCCCAAGCTGCTGCTCTGCTCCTGTTTCTTGGCCACGCCAACCAAAGGTGCATGCAGATGACACAGGCGAGAGAATCCTGTGGCTCACTTCTGCTAAAAGGGGATATGCTGACCATCTCCACGCTCTCCCACTGCCATTCCCATCCTGGTGCTTCATCTCTTGTGACAGCTCTGTAGTGCAAATGGTCCTGTGTAGAGCCGATTCAACTCACTAACACCTGCAGGAAACAATGCACCTGGGAAAGCATCTCTACCTGTGTGTTAGAACACTAATGGTCAAAAATACAATATCCGACTGCCCTAAAGATGCAGCAGAAAGACATTATTTAGAGCCTTTGCAGGCTACAGCATTTCAGAGATGCAGGCAGACTGCAAACAATCCTGTTAAATACAGGTAAACACATATACATGTGCAACTCCTCTGACTTCTTAACCCCATGCAAGATTGCAGAACTGGCTAGGGAAGGAGTGATGCTGCTCCTAGCCACAGGGCTACACAAACCCTAGATTTCTATTCCCTGCTCACCTGAAATTAGCACAGCTGCAAAAGAGGTGTACCGCAGTTGCCCGAGTAACCAAAATACTTCAGCGTTCCTTATTCATCCAGTCTGAGCCAGGCTGGCTCGAAGCATTTTCTTTCTTGACTGGGTGTTCACTTCCTCTCCAGGACCACAGCTTAATCCTGGCCTGGGAGTCCAGAAACACAGGCTCCGGCCCTACCTCCTTACCAGCGTAGCCCTGTAAGTTTAAGGACCATCAATTAAACTCTTTGTGCTCTTTGTCCCAGCTTACCAAAAGGTAAAAATGTTACTTTTCCCCACCTAGTAAGTAGCCTGAGATCTTTCGGAGCCTATGAGAACCGTGACTTCATTTTGTGGCTTGTTTTTGCCATCGTAGCTAAGGAAACCACAAAACACGCAAACGGACTCAGCTTTGTCAGGTGTCCTTCACAGCCCAGTCAAACCTGAACCTGAGCTGCATCTGACTTTCAAGCGCCCCCTTTTCTTCACAGATCACATTTCTACTATGCCTGCGTACAAGGCCAGAGAGCTGCTGCCACACACAGAACTGAAGCAAAACTAGCCTCATGCCTTCATGAGCCAACCTCTGCAAAAAGCATAGGAAAGAAAAATAATCCTGCAACTGTGATAAACTGCGGTAACTAGAGCAAGTTACCCGAAACAAATTAAAGGGCTAGTCTCAATTCAGCCGGTCTTGGCTGTTTGCACCCTCCCTTAATGCTCTTAGCTTAAATGGAAAGTAACGCTGGGATAACCCTTAGGGCCCAGAGCGTCATACAGGCTGGCACATAGACCTGGGATCATACCTATTGCAGGAACTCTAGGGCAAAATTGGGGGTCAGGAAACAAGGTCACAAGAGCAAACACTTCAGGTGAAGAGAGACTGAGTTTGCCCCTCTTTCGGTCAAGCGCTGAAACACTCCTTGCTTCCAGGATTGCAGTAACAGCACTAGTTCAGCACACAGGATGAGCATATTTAATAGGAAGGGGAAGAACGAAACTAGGACAGAATAGGAAAAGGAGAGGGGGTGGAACTGGACAGTGTGTCCCCCTGAAGACCCCTGAAGTCTAAGTGACACTCTGTGCAATTTATTGTACCATGAACCTATCCAGTGACTTCAGTCCACACATTTGCTTTTCCCTTGCTACTCTGTGCAGATCACAACACGAGAGACTCATAATCTCAACACCATTCTCCATGCATTTTCCCTCAGACACCAGCTCTTCACCACCTGCCAGTCTCCAAGACCTATTTTCTCTATTGCCTCTCTGAAAACAAAGGGGGCCAGGTACAGCCAACTGCAGTATTGGCATTTGTATTTGGGACATCTGTTCCCTAGGAGTTGGGCATGTGTCCACCTTCAGCCCCTCAGGAACAAGGCCAGCTTATACATTCTGTCTAATGAGTCGATAGCATATCCTGCAGCAGCATCCTTGAACAGGAGGTAAATGAGAGCTGTGCTTAGCACTGGAAGACAGGCAGAGACTGATGTGGGTATTTCAGAGTAGGAGCAGAGATGCAGCTAAATCCTCTATTACAATGACAAGGCAGGCAGTGGAGGAGGACAACAAAAAGACACCCCACCTTAACATGTGGGATTCTTCTCTGATGCAAAGATGAATCATGTGCTGAGATTACAGGACCCGACACGCAACGCTTAGCTATCAGAGATGGAGACAGAAGCCTGCACGTTGGGGTCTAAAATCTCCACCGGCTGTGACAGAAAAATCAACAGAAAGCCTCTTTCGGGACTCGTGCTGAGATTCAATACCCCACTGAACAACATCTGGACAGCCCTAAAAACCATTTCATGGCTCCTTTCGTTTCCTATGGGACAGGGGAGGAGGTAGGTGGGAAAAGGGCAGCCAGAAAAACAGATCTCAGGGTGCCACAGCTTGACTGCCCAGAAAATCGGAAGCAATTCACACAGGTGCCCAATAGTTTGGGTAGGCAGAAGCTCACCAATGCTTCACCAAGTGGGTACAGTGACACCCCCCTTTCCTTCCCCTGGGAGACAACTGTCTCGAGTCTGAAAACCCACTGCCCAAAACAGCCTGTGGCTGATACTGTTCCACCGCGGCAGTCACCAAGGCCGCACTTCACTAATACCTCATGAAAACCCTCAAAACAAGCAAGCCACCCCTCCAGTTCCCCAGTGCTGGGCTCTTCTGAACGCTCCACGTGCCTCAACAAGCCGACTTCTCCAGGAGCACCATACCCCGGCCCCAAACACACCCTGCTCACAGACAGCCTTGCTGCCTGACAGAGACCAAGGACCCAAGAAACGTTCCCACTGAGACTTTAACAGGCTGAAAACCAGACTGCTGTCCCCAAGGACAAGGCACCGGGACGCCTCCTGAGATCCCTGGGAGACAACTCACCAAGGGAGGCCGCAGAGAAATTCTTCTAGGCGAGCGCTGAGACCAGGGACAAGGCGTTTTGCCGAGGAGCCTTCGGACGAACTTTCCGACGCACCTGCAGAATGAGGGTTACAGATGAAGGGCTCTGCAGGAACTGCCGCCCCGAACCACCGCCCCCTTGTCCACGCTGCCCTTCCACCGGCGGGGACCCCCCGCCCCGCTCTCCCCCCAGGCCTGGCGCTGTTAAAACGGCCCCGAACGAGAGCTTGCCGCAGTTCGACGCTGAACCAGGGGCTGCTGCAGGGGGCCTGCGGGGAGCAAGGCCGGGG